AGAAATCTTTGAGTGAATTGCAGCTTCTGGCTTGCCCTTTCCTACCTCTCAGGTTGCATGCCCTATAAAAAGAATGTCATTAAGTAAAACTATGGTTTGCAATGCTTAGGGACACACATACAAAATACCGCAAATACCACACTGTAAAATTCTCCATGTGGCATAAGAATCACAGTTTATCACTCTCTAGTGATCAATTGGCAATTAATATTCAACCACCGCCTTGCACTGAAGACCTCTTCTAAAATACACAAGAGGCAAAAACTATTTCAAGACTCAGCATTCAAATGATAACTTTAAAGAGAACAAATAAAGCCATGCCAAAAGGAGCCCAAAACTACACACATTGAGGAGAATCTACTATTATTACTTAGAAGCATCAACTTAAAAAATACCTAGAGATGTGAAATCTGAATTTTCATTTTTTTAATTTTTTTATACTAATTACAAAGACAGATGTGCTTACTATTCACCATGCTTAAGCCATAAGCACAGTATAAGAAACAGTTTTCCCCTTCCAATCGGAAGCATAAATAACGCTTCTATATTATGTCGTATTCCCATACATCATGGAAATGGTTGGAACGTATCTCTGGCTACTGTAAATCATAAATACAGTTAAGCAGAACCTCCTTGAATGAAGAAAACAAGCACATAGCAATGAAATCTGGAGTCATACACGATTTGAGTGTGAGTTTCTCCATAGCCCATTTTAATTGATTTATATAGACAGGAAAAAGGGGGAACATTAAACCTTTTTACAAACCTTCCCAAGCTCTCCTAATTAGGCCAGTCCTGCATAAAGAACTTCATAGTTTCAGAAAATCTGAGAGCAATGAAATTAAAATGAGATAAATTGGGGAAAACACACATATTCCAACACCTGTTCTCAAATTCTGTGCTTCTAACAAAGGGAAAGTTATAGGTAATAGACACAGAGGGCTGTGACCAGGTTCCTCACTGGGCCACAAAATGGTATTTCTGCAATTTCTGTCCATAATTTACCTTTATGAAGAAAATCTGTGAAACAAGCCAAAAGCATCAAAGAGCACAGAAAAGGCCATGCTTGACATGAGAAGTTTATTTAACAGAACATTAACTGAGACATGTAAAGTAACCAATCTCTGTCAGGATTTAAGGTATTAGTTTTTTAAAAAAAGCGTTTGAATCTTTATTTAAAATGTTCTCAGAATCTTTCTGTCTAGCAAGTTGCTGAGTAAATATAAATGTAAAAACTAAAGTATCTAAAGTAAATGACACTGTTCTAGAAAATACAGAAGGCGGTACTAAAACATCTACCATAGCCCTTCAGAGTCTAAGCCACCATTGATTGCAAGGCACATCTTCATTTATATCCGTAGAGAAAGAAAAATCTTGTAATAATAACACTATCAAGTGTGAGGTGCATCCCAATTTCAGAGATGCTGAGATGTGTAAAGTAAGTCATTAAAATAGGAAAAACACATCCAACTGTGAGACTTGAAAAAGCCAGAATGAACTTTTGTGTATAATGGCCACTTAGCAAATACTTGTAGAATAAGTGAAAAAATGAACGACTTTATAAACAACTAAAGTCTTGGTACAAAAGTGGACTGAATACGATTTCTGTAAGTGGTCATAGGGACAGATCGTTCTCCATCAGCAAGCCTCTCCCTTGCTATTCTGGCCCAGCTTTCTCTCCTAATCAGAGTTTCTACGATGTTGCAGTAAAAAGCAGCAACTCCAACACTGGTTTTAAATACATATCCACATATAGACACACTCAGCCTCATTCTAGAGCAGGGGTCAACAAACTACGATGAGCACTAAACCCCGCTGCCAATGTTATAAATAAAGTTTCGCTTGAACAGAGCCATGTTTTATGTATTGTCTACGGCCGCTTCTATCATGCTACAATGGCAGAACCGAGTAACTGCAAGAGACGAAATGGCCAGAAAGCTTGATATATTTATTATCTCGCCCTTTAAGAAAAAGTTTGCCAAACCATGCACTAGAGCATAAGGCCCTAAAGGGCAGGGACCGCATTAGAAACTGGACTCACTCTGCCAGCAGTAATGGCGCCAAGTAAAAAGCAAATTAATGTGTGCTTGGGGGTAGATTTTAGTACACTAAGAGCACCACACCTCTGAGTAAAGTTGAAAGGTCTCCTGACACGCATACCTTTTCACACATATCTTTATTAAGGCTAATTTCCATTTCCAGAGGAATCTCTTTGCCCTCCATTTTACCTTTCCTTTTATATATTAAGATTTAGTATGTAAATCGTCCCACCCTAGCTGTATGACTAACGCAGAGACTAACTCCATCTATCTTTCTGATTAAGTGCACTGAATACATATTTTAAAAAACAGATTTTTATGAGTTAAATGCCGAAATCAATAAAGAATTCATATGTTCAGACATTTATTTTTTACATCACTCACTGAATAGATGCTTTGAGGATCATCAATTGTCCTTCACACAATAAACAATACATACAAAGAAGCATTAGCCACCTGAGAGTAAGTGAAGGCATCAATCATTTCCTAGTTAGGCAGGTTCTTTGCGCTACTCTAGATGAGGAGCTACCAAAGAGAATTAGACACAGCCCCCACCCTCACTAAGACTTAGTCTCCTTAGACTCACTTTAAAGTAAATAGCATGATAGTAAACAAAACCTCAAACTGATGACAAGGGGAAGATACACTAAGTTATTCAGTAGGGATAATTGGGTACTTACACTGTGCAAAGTTCCTGGGGCAGATGGAAGGATGTACAGTCATGGCTCCTTACCTTGAGCTGCATACGATTCAGGGACAAGGGTATTGGTGTGACCAGCTCTAACAAAAGGCAAACCAAAGAAGAACACAGGTCTTTCGGCTCCTGAAGAGGAGGGATTAATTTTGAAAGGACTGGACGTTTAAGGAGGAAAAAGAAGATCTCATGAAGATCTTCTTGAGGTTTTGGGGTGCATTTTAAAAGAGAAGAAGAAAACCTTTCTGAGTGAGGGAGCAATAAAGGCACAAAGGTGGGGAGGCACAGTGCCTGGTGCATCTGTACGTGCTCAACAGGGGAAGCTATTATTATACATTCACCAAAGGTACCTATTCTGTGCCAGGCGATATATCTGGGAGTAAGACAAGTTCTCCTAAAAGACAGAAAAACTGCCTCTAACCTTGACTTCATATTGTAATCACTGGTCTAAGGAGAGCACTGTGTGGGTGAGAAATATGGTGGGAGACAAGGCTCAACACACAGGTTGGGATCTAACTGTGAAGTGCCAGGCCAGAGAGGTTAGATTCTATTCTAAAGAATATTTGTAATTTTTTAAATATCTATATGATAAATTAAATGTGTATATATTTAATATATTGAAAGTTCTGCTCACATTTGGGGGCACTGGAGATCATTCTAATACCAGTTGGTTTTATAGCAAAGCACAGAGCAAAACATGAACTCACTATGAAAAGTACCACTACTCATTCTCAAGTGCATAAACTTGATCTTTTGAGCAACAGAAGGGACCCAGTATACATCAGTACAGCAGCCAATGTGCCACTAGCTGTGGATTAGAGGTTATTTCCAAATGACTCTCACTTTATACATGCTCTACACAGTTGGCCAGACCTGTATTTGTGTGTTAATGAAAACATACCTTTAGTTTTATTTAAAAAGCAACAAAAGTTCCTCTACTACCTGAATGCTTCTTTATAAGGTAGCTTCAAAAGAAGCACAACAAACATGACTTGTAGCAACTTAATTCCCAAACAGCAGCCCCATGGCTTTCTCAAGCATGTTCCACCAGGTGATGGCCTAGGTGGGCTATTTTTCAGAAGTCAGCTTCCTTTGCCTTTCCTCAGTGATACTTCTTTCCTAGTGATCACAGTAAGTCTACTCCCCAGGTGAAATACTTATCTTCATATCTTGCCTTTCCATGACATACTACAGCAACTTAATATTTAAACATTATTTAAATATTTTACAAAACAAAAATAAAAATATTTTCATGGCTGATTTATCTTCACTTACATGTGCTTATAAGGCTCTAAACCGGGGCTTCTCAACCTTGACACACTGACATTAGAGATCAAATAATTCTTTGTTGCGGGGGCTGTCCTGTGCTTTGTATGATTAGCAGCATCCCTGGCCCCTTACCCGCTAAATGCCAATAGTACCTACAACACACCACACTGTGGCAACCAAAATTGTCTCTAGTCATTGCCAAATGTCCCCTGGGAGGTAGAATCATCCCCCCTTAATAACCACTGATCTAAACTCATTTGTTCCCCTTTATGGTAATTGTAAAAGGTAGCAGGCATTGAGTTTTACTATTCGCCATCCACTAATTCCAATCATGTTAATAAGTTAACTCATTTAATCCTCACAATACCCCATTTTAAACATGAAAAAATACTCAGAGAAAATAAGTGTCTTGTCTGAGACAGAACCATTTATTGAATCTGAGTCCACTGATGTCAGAACCTTGGCTCTTAACTACTGCACCCTTTTGCGTTTCTGGAAAGGCATGAAATTGACAGCAGTAGACCAGGTACAGTACCTCCCTGTCTTCCCTATTTTGTGAACCAACACACATTTAAGGACATATCATCATTCGCACAGCAGGAGCTCTTACATCTTTCCAGGAGTAAAATTCAACTATTTAACAACTGGTGTAGCTCGGGCACGGACCAAACCATGGTCATAAACAACACATATGAGTATGCCCAGCCATTTCATGCCGCAGGCTAAAGGTGATCTGCATTTTCCTCAACTGAAGTTTTGTTTTGCCCAAGCAGGCACTGCCTTGGTCAAAAGCATACATTCATAGAGCACCTACAAGGCACAGAGCACCAAAAATGGACATGGATACTAAAAAAAAGTAAGAGATGAGATCCTTGCTTTTAAGAAATTTGAAATCTCATGGGGCCAAAGCACCCAGTTATCAAATGACTGAAGAACCTTTGGGCACCCTCCATTCACACTACAGGCTCCTGCACCCCAGAATCAATCAGGTCTCCTACCAGCTCCTACTCCATAACCTTAGGCAGGCGACTTCTCTCTCCTCTTTGGCTTCTTGATCTGTAAAATGAAGACATTCAGTGGAGTAAATGAGGAAAGTCATGCAAAGCTTAGCATACTGATAAAAGTGTTCTGTATATTTCAGTAATTACTACAGGCTTTCCAGAAGAGATGACTTTTGAGTTGAGTCTTGGTCTTGATGGCAAAAATAAACCCATGTGCCTCTGTCTAATACTTTTTCATTCTACCAATTAATTTCTTTTTTAAAAAGTGGGGAGTCACACAATTCAATGATACGCTGTGTGGACTTCCTGTTTATAACTGACATGCAACTTAAAGAACAAGCTGCCTTTGCCTGTCAGGCATCCAGAATCCAACTGATTGATGTGCTATTCTTTGCCACTTGAATCTTTGAGGTCCCTGAACTATTTCTAACAGCCCTCCTACCCTTTTCAACAATTACACAAACGTTTGCACCAGCCTCAACTGCTAAAGCGAAAATATGTTTTCATCTACATGCTTCCTTGCAATAACTAATCCTGCAAACACAATAAAGTAAATTCCAGGCGGAGCTGAATTTTTTACAGTATTAGTTATAAACCCCTAAAATAATTTATAATGGAAATTCTGAGATGTCCTTCACTATGAAGGATATTGGTCCTGGGCCCTGCGACAGAACATGTGTTCACAGGCACACACAACTGTATGTATGCAATACGCATACACAGAAAAGGGTTCCTTTCACTTAACTCAAATTTATTCAGAACAGTTTTATGTTATTTATTTTCATAAGTTTTAGACAAGATCTTTTTTAGCACATTACAGAGGCCTGGAGGGGCTTTCTGCATAAAAGACAAAGCCAAGCACTGTTAATGCAAAGTATAGTAACTCAGTGTTTTGAGAAATACGGCCAAACAGATTTGAATATGAAGCCATCAGGCCAAGAAACCTTGGTGTCTAGAGCTGAGAGCAGAATTGGCAGTTGAGTTCTCATTATCAGGAGATTTCTTGCTACCTTGTGGCCTCTTGGCCTAGCCTGATTCAACCTTACAAAGATTCAATGCATGCTCCACAAAACATCTAGGATGGAATATTTCAAATCGCTCGCGTAGTGATAAAACATAAGTCATGAAAGACTGGATCTGCAGTCTGTGCTGGGCCTCTATGTGATATTACTTAACTTTAATCCTTCTAACACTCAGTTTGTTCATCTGAAAATGCCATAGAAATAGCATCTTCCTCTTGCTTCCTCTTGGAAACATGCCCACGTCTTTCCCACCCCCCACCCCCAAGTTACTGTTGCCTTTCTCTCTCTCTCTCTCTCCCCTAAGCTCCAAGGGCCCTTCTTTTGCCTCTGTAACTTGTTTCCTGAACCCATTTCTTCTACAGCTCACTTTTTCTACCTCTGTGACTTTCTAAATAAACTTTTGCTTATAGTTTAGGGGGGAAAGAAAAGGAAAAGAAAAAGAAAGAAATAGCATCTATCGCCAACAGACTGATGTGAAGGTTAAATGAGCTAATACATGTAAAATGCTTGGAAAACTAAGTGCTCAATACATATTAACTATGGTGATTATTCTCTGTTTTATCTGACATTTCCATTATAAACCACACACACAAAATCTACATCAAATTTCTCAAACAGACATTCTAATGCAAATTGTTTTACACTCTACCGTGCTAAAACTCTAATGCCCCGAGATGAACTAAAAACTAGGGCCCATGCCATGCTGAATGTTATAGAGAGAAAGCTGAAAGAAAACACACAAGCACAAGTAAAGCAAGAGAGAGCAGCAGATCTGATAGTCATGCTAAGAAAATCACAATTCAGACAACCTACCTTTAAGGAGTATGAGAATTTTAATGTCCATGGGCTACTAGTGGAGGTTCAGAAAGGATCTTTTACTGGAATAGTACTTAAGAGGCCTTCCAATGATTTTACCTTCAAAAGATGGCATTGAACAAGCAAGATGAGACACCAGCCACAGAGTTTACACACACACACACACACACACACACACACACACACACTTCAGGTAATTCAGGAAGCTGTTCAGGAAGCCTCCTCATTATATTTTTAAACGCTCCCTTTCCATCATTAAAAAGGCACACATTCCTAATAGGTAAACATCCTTCAGTTGAACAAACTCGAAGCACGACTATTCCTAAGTAAAGTTGCCTTTATTTTCCAAAACTCCTGGGCACACTTAAACCAATGTGTGAAATTCCATGAACTCCAGGCAGGAGGTGAGGGGGTGCTAAAGTGCTTAGGCTCAGGACAGCGAGACCCAGTGAAGGACAGACTAACTGACTAAGCCACAAAACAGCAAAGTCTTAATGCATAATAGCAAATTATTTTTAATAAAGAGCCAATCAGAAGTTTACTAGAACATGAAGGAGAGTTTAAGAGACCACTTTACACAGCCTGCTGGAAAGGGAGACCTTCTGAAGCTGTAACAATATTTCAGTGATCCCTAACAAACTTATGCACATGCTGATGGCCAAAGATACTCCTTACCCATCACAGAAACTAAAGAAGGTTCCCAAGCATCACCAGCTTCTCTCAAAGTCTCACAGTTCGACGTTTCAAGTTGATCAATAGAACAACCCAAATGTCTAATTAAATTTTGTATGGCTAACATCTCATGTAAAACATTTTCTAAAAAGATACACTGGTATTTTTCAAATAGTGTTTTTTAAAGTTAGCTCTTGTGAGAAAAAATTAATATACTATTTCAATCTTGGCTGATATTTATCCCTATAGTTGACACAACTGTTTTATTTTTAAATGGCTTATAAAATGTTACCAGAATGGCCTTAAAATCAATTTAATAACTGATCTGCACTCTCCCAGTGCATGGAAAATGCAATGTCCAAAAATGTCCCAAAAGAAACCAATCAAAAATAAAAAGTAAATCTCATTCAAGGGTGCCATCTAGTGGGAAAATCGGGTGGCTGTAATGTTGCTAAGCAACATTTGGATGGTATGTTTAAAACCCCAGAATCTTGGACTTGGAAAAAACTTAGTTCAGTGTTTCCCAAAATATGTTCCTTGCTAACAGGATTCTGTCATCAAATACACTTAAGACATGCTGGGTGAAACACTGCAGAAAATACATCTTTACTACAGAATATCTCACAGCCTAGAATATGCTCACACACATTGGGAATCTCCAAAGAGGGATTCGGCATTTCTCATGTGTATTTGATCAGCGCAACTCTTTACTTGTGGACGCCTCTGAACTCCTCAAAGAGCACTGGAGCTTCTCCAAACAATGTTTAGGAAATGCTGATCTAATCCAGCTCCTGCCTCCACATTTACCCAGGAGGTCTCCAGCAGTGTAAGTAACTTGCCGTGGTTTGCAGGACTGTCAAACCCCACTGACGGGCTGTCTTGTAACCTGAGGGTGAGTGGAGGTGACCTGAGGAAGGTCCTCTACAGGACGCTCTCCTTTGTCCCTCTTCTGTAGCACTAAAATTGTATTGTGCTTGTAAACTAGAAGGACATCCTATTGCACTTAGATTAAATATTGATTTTAAACTAAAGATAATATTCCTCTTTCAATGTTCTGATGATTATTATTGTTTTAAACTGGCTACAAATTGAACTCAATGTTACATTTCAACATGGGTGGCAGTCCACCTCTACAAAATGTGTTAATTTTAAAGTTATATTTTTGCAGAAACACCATTTAAGTGTGTGAAAGTTATGCCTGATGCCTCCCACACATGTCCCATTTGAGTGTTAGCAAAAGGACAACCACAATACCTAATAGTGATTATACAAGTCAAAAATCAATCAAAGAGGCAAGCACTAAAATGATAAGCTTGAAGAAAGGCGGGTCTCACATACCTCCCCTACCTACTCCAACTACAGAAAATATTCCATAGGATACTAGCAGTGGAATTACAAAAGCAGCCTCCAAAGCTATTGCTACAAGTTATCCTGAAAAACTAAAATATACTTTCACTTGGTTGTGTTTACGAGCATCCTGAGGAACCTATGAAGTGCCACAGTTCCTTTGGGAGAACTTAGTTCGGGTGGTGATGGCTAAGTCGCCCCAGGCTCCACATCTTCTAGGGGCGGCCTGGCCGTAGCCAAGTCTCCTGGCACCTGATTCACTGTTTGTCACTGCTGTACCTTTTGAGCTGGCTCCATAGCCCACTCCCTTCTCTTAACACTGAAAAATTGGATAATAATAATTTTAATGAAGATTAAAGAATAAATGCAAGTAATAAAGTACCTTGTTACTTTTTTAATTGTTTTGATGGTTATATAATATTCTGTCACTGCTGGTTTAGAAATATTTAAGTTTTATCTTATTTAAAAGAGTTTCCCTTATTTTAAAAAAAAACTTAAGTTTTATCTTATTTAAAAATGGGGGGAAATGCTTCTCAGTATCTTTGGACACAAAACTTTTTCTGTAGTAAGAATTATCTCCAAAGAATAGATTCCAATAGTATTACAGAATCAAAGGTTAAGACTCATTTATACCCAATTTACACCAAATGTAAGATTTCTTGTCTCTCAGTCTAAAAGGGAGGCTTCAGAGACACCTGTAGGTGTGCAGACCAGGCTCGGTGTGGTCCAGGTCAGACATGCACAGCAACTGAGAGACTCGAGACGCTCAGGTGTTCGCACCCACATTCAGACTTGAATGTCAAGAACTGGCTCCCACATGTGAGATGCAAATTTTAGAGATTCCCCAAACTCTAAAACCATAAGTTTTCAAAAGGGCTTGTGCTCCTGATAGGTGAAAAGAAAAGAAAAGAAAAGAAAAGAAAAGAAAAGAAAAGAAAAGAAAAGAAAAGAAAAGAAAAGAAAAGAAAAGAAAAGAAAAGAAAAGAAAAGAAAAGAAAAGAAAAGAAAAGAAAAGAAAAGAAAAGAAAAGAAAAGAAAAGAAAAGAAAAGAAAAGAAAAGAAAAGAAAAGAAAAGAAAAGAAAAGAAAAGAAAAGAAAAGAAAAGAAAAGAAAAGAAAAGAAAAGAAAAGAAAAGAAAAGAAAAGAAAAGAAAAGAAAAGAAAAGAAAAGAAAAGAAAAGAAAAGAAAAGAAAAGAAAAGAAAAGAAAAGAAAAGAAAAGAAAAGAAAAGAAAAGAAAAGAAAAGAAAAGAAAAGAAAAGAAAAGAAAAGAAAAGAAAAGAAAAGAAAAGAAAAGAAAAGAAAAGAAAAGAAAAGAAAAGAAAAGCTCTTAATTAGGACCCTAAACCTAAAAGTGCTAACAAGAGAATTAACACATGTAGGATTCGTATTTTAATCAGATTAACAGAGATCCAAGTAAAAATGGAAACCAGACAAAAGTATTGTGGGTGAGGTTGGACGGGGTAGGAGGAGGCTGGTGTCCAAGTTTAAGGCTGGCACTGCTTTGTACCGGAGAGCTGGATTTCTTTACATCTGCCCTGGAAGGTGCCCACTTGTTCTTGCTCATGGATTCCAGCAACATGACAGAATGTTGCAAAGTGACTCTAAGAGGCCTGAACTGATCTGAAAGACTTTCTTGGTCCCTCCCACATCCCTCACTCCCACTATACTCAGCCCAAGAGTTAACTTTCCTCAGGAGTCCCTAAACCACACAATGTGTGTGTGTTTTTCACTTCTAAAACTCTTTTGCTTTCTGAGTATTTTCTGACAGGACCCACAAATGTTTTCAAAGGCTTGGCTCTGAGTTAGATGCACAGCACGTTGGGGACAGCTAATTCACTGAGAGGAGGCTCAGCTCTGGTTTATTTTTCTTTCCTTACCTTGCTCAGAACAGGATTCCCAACATACCAAGTGGTCAGCTCACACCGCCACACAATTGAGCAGTGATTCACTCATTCCAATATTCACTGTGCTCTTATTATGTGACAGGTTGCATGCCAGGTTCTGAGAACCCAAAATGGATGTTAAATCGGTAACTCCAGCCTCACTCATTTACCAGTTGTGTGACCGTGGCCAAGTACACTCATTTCTCTGAACCTGTTTCCTCAACTGTGACATGTGGGATAATAATGATACCTGCCTTAAAATATTAAATAATTATACACACCTCTCAAATTAATAAGTGAAATAATATACATAATAAGCATGGTTTCTAACACCTGTTATATATTTTTTAAGTGTAGCTTAGTCACTAATATGAATAAAATTAGAAGCACAATTAATTTAGCTGCTTCTGGTTAAAAATTATCAAAGCAATTATTAATACAGAATGTGAAAAGTATAACTTTATATTTGAGTACAAATATAGAATGTTATATCTCTATAACTGAGCATCGACGTAGCCTACAAATTCCTAATTCCGACCCCTAGTGGAGATTAGAGGTACAGGTGACTGAACCTTGGCAATTGGAAGTACGTAACTCAGTGACTAGTAGTTAAACATCAGTCTTTTAAGATTCTTATTTTCCCCATCTTCTCATCTACCCCTGACTTCCTGACACTGGGAGAGCAGCCTCTGGGGCATGCTTGCCATCCACAGGTAGTATCAGAGAGCTGATGATTTGGATGTTGACTTCTGGCATCAACTACTGATGACAGTAGCCCCACTATGGACTACAACAAGGTCCACTGAGTCCTTCTGCTGCCATCCCAGATCTCCCCAGTTTTCCAACCCTCTCAGCATCCGCCGGAGCTCCCCTCGAGGACTCAGGACCACTCGGCTGCCGTTCCTGTCCCACAGTGGAGTTTGGGTCCTATATGGCTGTCCTCAGCTGACACCACTGCGCAGAGGCCAGCTGAATGTGCATCATCTGGTCTCCCTGGGCTGCTCTGGGGAGCAAGCTCAGTTCCCCCGCTGCTCTAGGTTCCTCCTGAATTATCTTGGGAGATTCCTGGATCTGAGAAGATCATATCTAATTCTAATTCTCTCTTCCCTCATGTGAAATGGGGCAGGGTGCAGAAGGTCTCTTCCCAGGTACCTACCTACTTGTTTCCAACTCCAACCACATTGCCTTCGGGGAAAAAAGGGGCCAATATGCTTAAGTACTTATTGGTTGTGACCTTTTAATGCGCTTAATT